TGGAGCAGCAAGTCAGCCAGCCAGCCAGCAAGCCAGCCAGCCAGTCAGCCAGCAAGCCATCCAGCAAGCAAGCCAGCCAGCCAGCCAGCCAGCCAGCCAGCCAGCCAGCCAGCAAGCACCACCAGCACCTCTTTAGTCAGATCTCAGAGGGTCAACTTTTAACTCTTTCGCGGAACTTTCTTCTTCTTCATTTTCCGGTGATCCTTAAAACACACAGTACACCTCTTCTTCTTTTTTCATTTACATTCTAGTTTAAAGATACATATTCCTTTAAACGTTTCCTTTACGAATCGCTATCGAATCAGTTTTCAGTGACGGTCAGATGAAAGGACAGTAACACGTGCAAATGACACGTTAGCAAATCACAGCAGCGGCCAAGCTACTTTACCCAACGCAGCAGCAACAAGAGCAACAAGTGCAGCAAATCACAGCAGCGGTCAAGATCCTCGACCTGAGCGGTGGTGGATTGGCTGATTGAGTTGATTACTATTATTGTAGAGCAAGAGGAGCCGGAGGAGGATTATGCAGATGAATTTAATTGGTTATATTGGTTAATAAACGTGTGTGTAATAATTAGCTATGACTGGTTTGGGCACTCGGCGGCTGCACTGGGACAGACAACGGTACCTTAGAGCGAGCTACGAATGCGCTTCTCATTTCCACTGTATTCCGGCTCCTTCACGTCCAGCGGGCGAGTGGCGCCCACACTGCCGCCCAGGCTCTTGAAGGCCTCGGCGGCGCCCTGAGCCGCCCCGTGGTACCACTGGCGGAGGACGTCCACCTCGGCCAGCCCCGCTGGCTCGACGTCCACCACGGTGGAGCCGCCGGTGCTCAGCGTCTTGCCCTTGAACTCGTCCACCCGGACCGACTTGAGGGCCACCACTTCGCCGACGTTGGCGGAGAAGGCCTCCGCGTGGCCACCAGCCCAGAGCGTGAGGCGCGCCTCGTAGAGCGAGCGGTCGACGATGGTCACCACACGCTTGGCCATCTGCCGACCGGTGTTGCGTGCAACAAATGATTCCATCTCGCCGACGGTCCGCACCACCCCGATGACGTCGATGGTCGTGCCGGCGGTCATGCCCACCACATCGGAGAGCTGCTTGAAGTTGTAGCGCATGAGAGGGATGGCGCCCGCCGCCTGCTCGTCCAACGGCTCGTCCACCGGCTTGATCACACTGTACGCGGTCAGCGTCACCTCGTACTCGGCCTTCAGCAAGCTGTAGCGCTTGTCGGCCGGCTTGACGGCGCCCTTCGAGATGAGGTACACGCGACCGCGCTCGATCACCTCGTACCACTTGTCCGCCTCGGCGTTGAAGGCGACGATGCGCACCTCGCCGCCGCTCTTGTCGACGGTGTCGAAGCTGAAGACGTGGCCGCTTCCGCGGGCGGTGTTGTACGTCTTGAGGGGCGTCTTGCTGGTGACGCGGACGCGAATCACCCAGCGGGCGTCGTAGGGTGTGATGGTGTTCACCGGCACCACATTCCCACCCTGGAGGGAGGTGCTGCCGGAGGGGAAGTCGCCTGCTTCCCCCTTCACTGCCACGCTCTCGACTTGGCCAGTTAAAGTGCTGCTGCTGGAGGGTGAGGGAGTAGAGGTCGTCGTCGCCGCTGATCGCTTAGAGACGGTGGCTGAAGCGCTGCCCGCTACGACCGTGGCCGCCCCTTCCACCTTCACCTTCACCGCCGCCTCCTGTTTGGTGGTCACCACTGCCTCCGCGACCACCTCACCGCCGCCGCCGCCGCCGCCACTCGGTCGACTCAGATACTCCCACTCGGTGCCGGTATCTAGCTTGCCATTGATCTCCTTGCCTGCAGAAAACGAAAGCATCATCAGTACAGAACTGTTTTGAAAAAAAGCTCCTCCTCTTCTTCAGTGCACAAAAAAAAAGAAGAGAAAGCAGTCACTCACCAGCGCAGACCAGCTCAATCTTGCTGAGCAATAACACGGTCATGTTCCTGGTGGGCACCTCGTTGGTGGAACAGTCTAGCGCGCGGACCACCGCGTACTTGTCGAGCAGCCCGTCGGCAAAGAGGCGGTGCGTCGCGTGGTCCTCGAGCGACAGTATGCCGTGCTGGTTGATCGTACGGCCGTCGAAGAGGACCACCCGCACGAGTCCTTCGGTGATCGGCTTTGTGCCGAGTAGCTGCAGTAGTGGTGCCTCGAACGCCGCGTCACTTAACTTGACGCGGCCATCGAGCATCGCATTGATGAAGCCTTTGCTCAGACGGAGATGCGACATGGCCAGGTTGGTATGAGGACGGAAAGATTTGAGATGAAAGAGCACTCAACTTTGCAAAAGTAAAGCCACTTATAGCCAGTGAGAACACGTTGCACAGAGATTCAAAAGTAGAACTTTTATTTAAAAAAAGTGCTAAAAGCAAACAATAGTCGTCTTTATTAGAACAGGAGAGAAAAGAAAAAAATCATCTCGACTGTTTGGGGCATCTGGTCGAGGATGCAGTCCATCTCATTGCTGTCCAGGTGGCCGTTGCATATTTAGATTAAATTTAAAAACATTTTTAAAAAACCGCCAACAAAGTGGAGGTAAAACAATGCAAAACAATTTTCAAAACCCAAGACAAAACCAAAACAAAAATAACAAAAAGATTGTTGCTCAAGTCCTTCATCCACCTCATTCACCACTACCAACAAATCAAGTGCACCAAAAACTGACCGGAAAAAGCTAACCACTTCCAAAACTCACTTCAGCTGCGAAACTCCCTCCTTCTCCGTCTTCTTCTGCTTCTTCGCCACAGTATAGAGGCTTTTCGCGCGGAAGATAATCTGGCGCGTTTTAGTGCTAATCTTGCTGTAGCGCAGAAAGAAGGCCAGCGAGACGCAGCTGATGGTGCCGATGATGAGGACCTGTGAAAAAAAAAGAATATGAGGAAAAATGAGGACGTTTAGAAACTAAAAGCAAATTTGACACTGACCGGCACCAGCAACCAGTGACGCGTGTCCAGCTCCGGCTGGGCGCCCCAGCTGAGGAAGGTGACCACGTCCTTGGCGAGCTGCGAGGCGGTGGGCATGAAGGTGGTGGCTGATCAGCGAGAAGAGGCAGTCCAGCGAGGCTGTTTGACTGCTGAGGACTGGACGAGTGCGGTAGAGGGGAAAGGCGGCGAGAAGGTCGAGCCGGTGGACCAGCAGCCCCACCGCCGCCGCCTGGCCCACCCCTCGGACGGCGAGGAGAATGTCCACCAGGAGGGCCAGGTTAGCCCCGCCGGTAAGCAGCAGCTCCTGCTGAGCTTCTTCAGGCTTCTCTTCAGGCACTTTGAGCGCCGCCCTCAGCTGCTCGGCGGCCTTCAGGCGAATGTCATCTGACTGCTTAAAGTTGACCCGCTCGCAGATGGACTGCAGCAGCTGGCTGGTCAGTTCTTTGCTGGAAGTGGAGTTCTCCTTTGTCTCTTCCTCGTCATCACTTTCCTCCTCCATACCGGTTTAGCTGTAGCCGCTCGAAGAGGTAGTCTTCCAGCTGACCAGTGGAGCAGAGGGTGGCCAGGGCGCGGGCGGACAACATGCGCACCTTCCAGATGCGGTTCAGGAGAAAGGCGGTCAGGTGGTGGGAGGGCAGGTGGTGGGAGGAGGATTGCTTCGGAAGAAGGTGATTTGTATTAGAGGCGATCGCCTCTCCAATGGGCGTAAAGGAGGCGAGCAGTGCGAGGACAGGCACCAGCTCAGGGTGCAGATCATTTGAGGCTGAGGCTGATTTCTGCTGGCAGCCGGCAAAGTGGCCCTCAATAACGCCCACCAGCGAGGGGTAGCGGGAGGCGAACTCGGCAAAGGTGATCGTGGCGATGTAGCCAGAGCCCAGGTGTTCCCCCTCCACAGACGCAGAGTTTGCATTGTTGCCCTCGGCAATGTCGGTGGTCCTGGCCACCTCGAGCCCCCTGATATGATTGCTGCTGTTCTTTTTGGCTGCAGACGTACGCCTCAATCGTCTTCCGCCGACTGTAGAGTGCCCTCAGGTACGAGTTCAGCAGCCGGACAATGTGAAACTCGTAGACGGTGACCGCAGAGCAGAGGTGAAGCGTCAGCGGGTGCAGGAGGAGGAAGGCCTGCAGCAGCTGCTGTTCGGTGGTGAGCAGCTCGTGAAAGGCCTGGCAGGCGAGGAGGCCGTTGATGAGGGCAGCTTCGCGGAAGGAAAGAGCAACTGCTGTTGTCTCTTCGGTGGAGCTCATCCGCTTGATGGTGGTTGTAAGGGTTGTCGATATGTGGTCACTTCCCAAGTTAGACAAGAGGTTGAATGCCGAAACTAGGTCAGTCGTCTCGAGATCTGTTTGAGCGCTGAAGAAGGATGAGTAGAGATGACAGGAAATCCACACGTGTGCATTGCCTGGAATTGCAAACCCTGATGAAGCTGTGTTCTGCTGGAGTTTAGAAGGAAAGCTCGTGAAGTAGTTCAGCAGGATAAAGGTCATGCACAGTGCCGACAGGGTGATGGTCTCCGGAAAGAAGCCGGACTCATCGGAAACGACGCGGTTCAGAGTGCTCAAACTCTTTACTACTAAAGTGGTGATTTCCTCGAAATGCTCGTCGTTATTCGAGGTGACGCTCTGTGAGAACGGCCGTTTCAAAGTTGGTCAGAATTTCCGCCAGCCGGGGCCGGCTGACTGTAGCCGGTCAGCAGCGAGAAGACGTAGTCCTCGCCGCCGTGGCGCGCCAGCACAATGTAGCTCAGGTCGGGTGACAGGGCGCCGTTGTTGGCGGCTCGGGTGGCGGCCTCGTTCGGCTAAGGCGACGGCAGGGCGTCGGAGAGACAGCCGGGGCGCAGGAACATCTTGCCCTCCTCATTTTCGAGAAAGCTGCCTCGACGGTGGGCGGTCGGGAGAAAGCTGTTGCTGCCGCTGTTGTTCTTGCTGAATCGGAGGTGACAGGAACCTTCGCTGTTGTTGTTTTCCTTTTCCACCCTGTTCCTTCTTCTTCGCCCGGCAGCTCTCCGCAATGAAGATCGCCGCCGTGCAGTCGTCAAAGAAGACCAGATGATTCGGCAGCTGCTGATGACCACCACCACCGCCGTCCCCGTCGCCACTGCTCTCCGCTTCCGCCTGCTGCTGCAGTTGAGCTTGAAGAAAGTGCTACAGAAGAAGTGACTGCTGACTGCTGCTCTCGTCACTGTGACCACTTCCACCACTATTGGCAGCAGCCGCGGCGGAAGCCGCCGCCGCCGCCGCCAGCTCATTTCACTCCGCCTCCATTTCGTGGTTCTTGACGTGCTTCTTCAGGTGGGCGGTCGGGTGAAGGAGCGCGAGCAGTGGACACACTGAGGAAGAAGGATATAATTAGAAATAAAAAAACTTTGAACTCCTTTCACTTACATGATACGGCCTGGCACCCGAGTGCGTGGTCGGCCAGGTCGACGTCCTTCCGCTTGTGCACCATCAGGTGGGTGAAGTCATCGACAGTGGGCAGCAGCTCGCGGACAGCGGTACAGGAGGCGGTTGACGCTCTCCGCCGGGTCGAACACCTGCACATTGGGGCACTTGATGTGGGTGGCGCGAANATGCGCCAGCAACTCGCCGTCCACCTTTGAAAAGAAGGTGCACTGGCTGATGGGACACTGAAAGTCGTTCACGTCGACAGTCGATGCTGCAGACTCGTCGTCCTCTCCGAAAGTTCCCTCACTTTGCTGCTGCTGCTGCTGCTGACTAGCCCGTGTTCCCGTGCACAGAATGGCCTCCTCCAGTGAGTGCAGTGCGCCAATGTTCGACAAGGAGGCTGAGGAGCTGCGGCCGCTGCTGCTGTTGTTGTGGTGGCCAAAAGCGACGACACCGTTAGAGTTGGCCATCTCCGCCTCCAGCTCG